AAAAAAAAAACACACACACACACGCTGCCGCCGAACAGCAAAAAAAGAACACGCCCCCGCCCCTTTCCCTCAGCGCTCCAAGCCAGAGCTTCATTTTCGGCAAAAATACGCGAGCCCCGCCCCAGCCCAAACAACAACCATGTTCTTTTTTGCTGTTTGGGCGGGGACGTGTTTATTTGTTTGCTGTTTGGGCAGGGGCGTGTTTTTTTTTTACTGTTTGGGCGGGATGGCGTTTTGTTTTTTGCTGTTTGGGCGGGGGAGCGTCTTTTCTTGACTGTTTGGGCGCGGGCAGGTTTTTTGTTGTTTGGGCACTCACTCACCGGCCTGCCTGGCTGGACTTTGAGGAGCCCAACAACAACAAAGACCAAACAGCACAAAAAAAAAAAGGATTTCCCCCCGTTAACCCACTATCACAGCCCCTCTCAGGCGGTCTCCGCACAAAGCCTCCTGAAGATGTGATTTAATCAGTGGCGCAGGTAAGGCTCAAAGATACCCTGTTGAAGGCGCGGGATTTGGCAGTGCTACTCATGCCTTGGGAAAGTCTCTTAATATCTTTGCTACTGAATTCTGCATGAAGCCCCGCACCGGTGTCTTTTTTCTGGAATGCCCGATAAACACTAAGACTTAAACCCTAAGCCCTTTACCTGAAGCACACACCTGATCTGACCTTTGAACCAAGACATGTATGCAGGTAAAAGTTATTTCAGGTTGTCAAAAGACGCCCGGCTTCACCCCCGCGCAAGACCTTTACTAGAAGCATTCGCGTATCTGGACAGCCCTCCGATAGACTGGCGGGAGCACGGTCCAAAGCTAGTTCTCAACACCGGACTGGCACCAAAACTCTCTGCAATGGACCTGCGTGGATTTGCCACAGCCGGTCTCTCCTGGGCCATGCATGCCATGCAGTCTTTGATGATTAAGCGCTTTCAGCGCAGTGCATGTGGTTCTCGATGTTTGGGAATTTCATTTGTCCAGACATGTCTGTGACAAAATTCTGCTCTCATCTCCTGGCAACACAACCCCCCTCTGAGCCCACTACTACCACCGAAAGTTGCCCATTGGACACAAACCGCGTCCTAGGTAAACACTGTCAGAAAAACCTGAAGTTTACACCTTACGCTTCAGGTATACCCCAAGAGAGGCGACCAACAATGACCCAGGCTCCGCTGAGGAGGACGACCTGGTGGTCCTTCACTGCCGTGACCTGCTTGATGAGCGGAAGTGCCCTAAAGCCTCATAACCCCCTAAAACCTACACCCCCAGGACCCTGAACCCACAACAGCCAAAAACCCCCAAAACCCTTCAGGCCCCTAAAGTTCCCACCTCCTAAAGTCCCATTGCCCCTTGGCAGGCCGAGCTCCTCACAACCTCCGCTCTCTGCTTGAAGGCGGGCAGGGCCTTCCAGCACAAGCAAACAAGGAAGCGTTGAGGAGTGTAGGGCTGAGGGGCTTTGGGTTAAGGGCTTTGGATTTCAGGGTTCAGGGTTTGACCCTTCTGGCTTCATAGTGTACTATGCAAACGTGAGGGAAAAATGCAAAACTCCACAGTGCAGATAGTGCTTGCCAATGAAATGTACTGTAGGGCGTGAGCCGGAAACCCGAGCATTGCTTCAACTGTTTGCTGGAAGTCTCCGTACGTTTTTTCTGGAAATCTCTTTTGTGCTTGTGCAGATACCCGGAATTCGCTTCATCATTTAACGTCATGCCTGCGTCCCGGTCACCAATACTGTGTGCTGGCCTACCTAAACCAAATAATTTGGAATCGATTTCAGGGGGCTGAGGCTGAAAGTGCCCTTCTGAGTGGACACTGTAAGTTTCTGGGACGCCTGGTTGCAAGCCACCTCACAAAAATCTGAGAATCGTGCAGACAGGATATGCTACATTGAAATTACTTCCTGTGCTACACCACAAGTTGATAGTGTCAGTGCAACTGGTCAACATTTTCAGTACCCTTGCTGCTCCTCCCGCGGCTTCTTCGCAACCATCATCACTAAAACCGCCACGGCAGCAACCACAAACACAACTGGCGCCGCCAAGTGACTACTGGTACGAAGGCAGCCAAGCGCTCACGGCTGATGCTGCTACTACTGCCGCCGCCACCGCCACCACCACCACCACCACCACCACCACCACCACCACCACTACCACCACAACTGCTACTACTACCAGCACCAGTACTCCTCCTAGCATGACGACTACCGCTAAATGCCCGTGCTGCTGCAACAAGGACGATGACCATGCTGGCGACAACGACCACTTTGACGAGGGCTGCATCTAAACTGCCACTACCACCAGCACCGCCGCCAACACGACAACAACAAGGACCACGACCGCCCAACACCACTGAAAATAACTGTGCCACTCCTTCTTCACTAGCCTTCAGAACAGTTGCAACTACTTTCAAGTGCGTGTCTGGTATGTACAGCTGCCTTGGCTGCAAAGCTTACAGCTGTTGCAAATGTTATCAAGGTCATAACCGCTTGGCGACACCAGTTGGCCATGGGGAATGTTCTCATGCTGGCTCCGTGAACTACTACTGCTTGGCGTGGTGACTCTACAGGCCTCTGCAGTGAAGACGTGTCTCAAAATCATGTTTCTTGAAGATGGTCCATGTTCACTTTCAAGCCTCTCGCTTCTCGCCGAGCTTGGAGTACTCGGGCAAGGCACGCCCTTGGTTTGTGGGTTGAAGGTTTTAGGTGCAGGGTTCCAACCTTCTCCAAGCCTGCCAAGAAATGCACAGCAAGATGCCATGTTCGTACACTGCATGTTAGCCTGAAGCAGGGGCTCCCCTGATAGCCCTGAGTTCCTGTTCTTGATCGACATATGTACTCCCACTAAAAATTCGGAAGACTTGCTTTGATTGAATGGGTGTTCAAGCTGCTTAGTTTTTCTGAATTGTTATCATCACAAGGCCCTTCATGTCTTGCGCTTCAGAAGGCACCATGATTTGCTATCTACACCCATTAGTTCAGGGTGGCCCTGAGTGTAAGTCTCAAGAAAGCCGGGAGCAAATCCTGGCAAGCTCGAATCCAAAACTCTGCAGGCCTTGCCGATCCTGCTGTTATCACCGTCTTCTGGTTCCTAACATCCCATCGCAAACCTTGCTTTCTGAGGTCCAGGTCTATTGTTACTGTGGTCCCCCAACCGTTACTGCCCAGATGGCCACATCCCTTTCTCGGCTTCCGGCGCAATTCCAGTGAAGATTCCTTGGCTCCCAGACAGGGACCACTGAGGTGCTTCAAGTCTCACTGCTTCGCAATACAAGGTTTCTTCGACATCAGGGATTCACTTCGACTTAGGTTGTACATGCTGTACGTAACAGGCTCCCGTAATCAATGGTGATAATTGGAGATTCTCTGCATTTCTGCAGGTCCAGTACTGGGCCTGGAGAATGATTCGATCAAAAATGCCTTGGGGCATAATTAGAGGCTGCCCACGTAAGGATTATGTCAGAAAGATACAACCTCGGGTCTAGGGTTGCTCAGCATTGCGTGACGCTACGAACAGCCTCAATGAAGAAATGCTTGGTAAGGCAAAGAAAGGGTTTTACCAGCTAAAATCTAGACGCAAGACTTTCCGACGAGGGGCCATGGTCTCCACACTCATGTCTACAGCACCAGCCAGCTCCAAAACGATATCCTCACCTGCACTTGCTGGATTTGGTGGTTTCTCAACACGTAGGGTTCCTTCAGGAACCTAGGGATACATGGCCTGTCATGAAGAGATTATGGGAATCCGCACTGAGGAAGACATGAGGGAAAAGGGACTAAGAAGTCTTGCAGGTCAAGCTTGGGAACAGGATTTCCAATTTGGGAACCTTGCATGGCACCCGAAGGCCTTGCACAACCTAGCGTTGCAGATGCGACTTCTGCATGGAGCAGTTGGCGCTAAAGTGTTTAGGGTTTACGGGGGCTCAAAGTTTACTATTCTTAGTACACACCACTAGGGTTCAAATTTCGCACTCTTCAATCTCCACGCCTGAAGGGGTGGCTTTGCCACCCAGTGAAACCATGGCCAGGCTGCTGGCAGCCCCTGGTGCTTACGATGCATGCGGACTTGTTACACTTCAGCAGCGACAGACTAATCTTGTTGCTCTTGCCATCACCACCTTAACAACCGCCAACACCATTGTCACCGCAATTCATCTACGGTAATCATTGATGTCGCCGACCAGCATCCCAGCATGTTGGCCTCTTGACCAACTGTGAAACGGCTTCCGCAAGTACTGCAATCAAGCACCACTGGGACCCTTACTGCGGCTTCTTTGCATTAGCTCCTGCGCAGCCACCACTCCCGCCACAACAAGTTTTGCGACTTGAAGCCTGACAGGACTAAAGGGGCAGCAGGTCCTCAGACTCGCATCTTGGTGTCCTGCAAGCAAACTGTAAAGGTGCAAAAAGCTTCCCGAGACAAGCTCAGGATTCTTGACTGTTGAGCTCCATCTTAAGCGTCCCTGTCCATGGCATTCACTTCACATGAAGACGTTTCTGAGGGGACCTCAACTTGAGAGCTTGCCCGCAAGAGGAATGTGATTGCGGCAGATGAGCTTCAATTGCGACGTTGTTAATCTTATCTGGGGCTCAAGATCTGAGATTGCTTCATTGATGTTAGTGTGGTTTTAGTTGATCTAATGGGGTTCTGAGTCCACCAGGCCGTGTGAGACAAAGCCTGCTTCGATCGCCAGGCCCACAGTTTTTGTTTGTTGTGGTGCAGTGCGGAAGCGGGTTTATTCTGAGTATAGAGCAGGATTGTGCTGGCCGGCTTTTAAAAGCTTGTGTCCTGCACGCCGTACAACCCAAAACCTTTCACGAAACTGATAGCCCCGCTCCTTGTCCGGACAAGTACCGGCCCAATTCCGCCTTGCCAGCGTAGATCCACGCATGCGCCCATCCCAGCCAGAGTCCTCTCTTCAATGGTCAGAACAGGGCAGTGGACTCTAAGAGAGTGAGGTTTGGTGGTTGCTTGTTCCTAGTTAGTACGGGAAATAAATCCCTTAGTACTCCAAAAATCCTCTTCCTTTGTGTCCTAGTAACCACAAATAAGGCTAGGGCTTGGGACCTTTGGCCTGGGCCTGGCTGACTGAAGGTCTCCTAGTTTCTCGCGCTCCTGCCCTCTGGCCAGCCAGAAAAAAATTGCAACTGCAAAAACCTTGTTGCGTGTTTAAGTGGAAAGCCTCTGGAGTTGTTTTTACGCCGATCAACATAAGTAATATGAGCATAAGCATAACGACTACAGGCGGCACAGGCGAAACAAATCTCAAACAGGAACTCGGGCAAACAAATCTCAAGAGGTTTGGCTCTACACCTCCTGTGCCTCAAGTGCTGGGCAAGACCAAGGCACTTCAACCTGACTAAACAATCCGAAGACACTCTTGGGGGAAACTACCCACCTGAAATGTTCGTGGAATTACCTACCCAACCGACCGCCTCAGCTGAGCAACACCAGATTCTCAGGCTCACGTCACTACATTCATACTGTGAATGGAGGAAATCTCGCACCACCATATGAGCCGTTGGCTAAACTCCTAGTATCCCCTTAATAACCCCTACAGTACTCCCCTATATAATCCCCTATATAACCCCTCTTAAGAAGTTTAGACTATCGCTCATATTATGTAGCCGCAGCAATGCTTATTACAAGTAAGTCATGCAAGATTTCCTCCATTCACAGTGAAGACGAGGATGGGCCCAAACAACCTGAACCGCCACAACCCCCCCTATATAACCCCTATATAACCCTATAATCCCTGTAGTTCCGATTTTCTTTTCCATTGTCCCAATAATCCCCTCCAAAAAAGGCGATGATGAGCTGTTGTGCAATTCCTCGTACACGCCCAAAACCGGCACTCTAAAACTTCCCATTTGCAAGGGATGTAGGAAGGCATCACTGTCACAAATCATTCTTGCTATCATGAAGCTCATCTAGCAATTGCAGCAGCAATAGCAGTGGTGATACCGTTGCCTCTCCAAACCGTCGCGTCGCCAGCCCGTGGAAAGGTGATGCCTCTCAACAACTTTCACATCCTGACGGTAACACCGCTGCTTGGAACATGCAATAGAGTAACAGGCAAAGAAACAACGACAACGACAATCCTAAACCTCATCAAGAATGACCGTGCTCACCACGACTGCAATGACTTGTTGCTAATAAGTCCACCCCAAGTAGCTGACAACCATACCTGTGTTTCTAGGCACGATTGCGGCCACTACCATAGGTTGAAAACACCACAACTCTAGCTGCGACCGCATTGATTCCAGCTTTGGCGGCCTCCGCCCCGTTTGCACCGGGGAGTAGCGAGGCGCCACCCAATGCCTGCGAGGGGACAAATAATATTGCGTCTCACGAGCTTGTGGCTCTAGCTTTAAGTTTAGGTTCAGGCGGCGAGCGCCCTGTATTTGCTTTGGAGCGTTTTGGGTTGCAGGTAAGGCTGAAACCACACTACCCTGTTCTGTCTCTCATTGCTGCTTTATTCTTGTTACAAGTGCAAACATCCTGTTTGAGCGCACTCCTCCTACCTCCAATATCCTGCTGCTACCTGCTACCATTACTACTACAAGTACATCTTCTTCTGCTGCTACTATTACTTCTTCTACCTCTACTTTGCAGTTCGTGCCATAGCAATGAAAATGGGAGGTTTTGTGGCAGCAGCAGTACAGGCATTAGCTCCTCCCACCCTTCAATCAAACAGGGTGAAACTCTTATCGGGCCACACAACCCCAAACCTGGGACAAAGACATGCCCTTCAAAACTAGGACCCGGGAAGCCTTGAACCCCAATCCAGAAACCTGCAACCTGACTCAAAATGTGGAAATCCAGGCAATCCCTGCTTCTGTTGCTTCCACCATTGTATCGTTGATAAGAAGAATGGTTGACAAGCATCTTTCCTATCGCCCTCCTGCACCCAGAGCGACACGTTACAACCACAGGAACCTGAAACCACACCTACAGGACATCAAAAAAGCGCACACTGAAAAGTCTTGAGCCTCAAGCCAACTCCAAAATACTCCGAAGTCTGAGCCCCACTCCCGAAGTTCCTCAAGCCCGCGACCTGGGGGATGCTCTGCGATCTATGCAAGGTCGCCTTCTGCTCGCTCCAATCCTTCGTGGCAGAACTTTGGCTTCGGCAAGACAAAAACAAACAATTATAAAGAGGATGATGAGCATGATGATAACGATGGCAGTACTGAATACAAACACCTATCATAGGGCTTGGGCGATGCAGCTTGCGGAGTAAGGTTCGGAGTGAATCGCTGGTTTGCTGCGTGCTGTCTACTGCTAGACCCTCAACAAAATGCCGTCAAATCCCGCTTCCCTGAAGTCCCGGAAGTCGTCCCTGAAACCTTGCCTGAAGAGTTTTGATGAGTTTGGCACAAACAAAAACTTCCAACCCGGAAATCCAGAATTTCCAGCACCAGGCGGCTCCGCTCGTGTCGAGGAGCTTGCGGCCACCTGTGCACCAGTTCCTGATCGGGGCACTTTGCGTAACAAAACGCCAAATAGGCGTTGGGTTCTAAGTGCTTTCGTTAATAAAGCCGAGACAAAGATAAGGATGCAGATGTGGCTTGAAGTTACTCCATATTGCTGCCCCTATGTACTATCTGCAGCAATTCTACCAGTGTGAAGGCTTATGGTGAAGGATGCGGGGTCTGCTTGGTCAGATTTGGGTATAGGGCTTCATTAGGTTCGGATATCAATTTTTCGTTGCTGTTGAGAGATGCTAGTCTGTGTTTGTGACCCGGCGGGAAGTCTGGGTCTCTGTGTTGAGACGTCTGAAATATTTACAGTTGAGTATCTAGAGTTGGGAGCTGTACGCAGGCGTCCGCAACAGAATCTCGTTAACCTTCCTCAAAGCCTTGTAGTTGAACCGCAGAAGCTGAAGGAAAGTGGGTCGTCTCAATCCTGCATGTCCACCCGAAACTCCAGACCTCCGACAGGTGAAGCCTGCCAGGAAACTATACAATATACAACGTGCGCCTGTCAACGCCGCCCCCCAACCCACTCCAATTCCCAAACAAGCGAACCCCACGCATTTCCTTGCAAGTACTTAGCGGACACCCTCAACATGACGTCCAGCTTTGATATACTTTCAGTGGTCCGCACCCCGAACGCCCGACTCAACCCTCGGGCTCAAACCTTTTACACCCAGAAAGAGAGAGTAAACCCCGAGTTTGCAACTTATGTAAATAAACAACATTTTATGGCGTTGGCTGCTATCAGAAGCTGCTGAGGGTTAAATTCACGCAGAATTCTAAACCGTGGAGCATGAACCATAATCTCTACACCCTAACCCCAAATGTCTACACACCTAAACCCAATTGACCGCACAATCCCTGCACGCAGAAGCCACAATCCGCAATCCCACAGCCCTGAAACTTTCTCTCAAACCAAAACTGACTGCGAAACTATGAGTCCACATCCCTCGACCTGTTTAACCTAACCCTCTGGGACCCTAAATCGTGAAATCTTGAGCTCTTACTGCTTCCAAATCACCATCCTTTCCTCGCCTCTTCTTCTTCCACCTCCTCCTGCAAGATGGCAGGCTCTCCGGCTTGCTTTACGGCTTCAAGGCATGAATTCCGAATGAGCATTGAGATTACAGACTTGCATCAGGGTTTTGGGGTGAGGCGTTTAAGAGCTTTGGAGATCTTGGATAGGCTGAGGGCTTGGGAGTATAGGCTTCAGGAACTGCAATTCTTTCGGGGTTGAGGGGCGACAGGTTGAAGCCAATGCCGTATCTAGGGAGTGGGTCAAAGGATGCAATCGGAGCGAGTTTCTGATGATCAGTGTTATAAGGATAAAGGTAGATGCAACTGCATTCTACACTAAAAGCCCTGCCAAGCAAAGAGCCAAGAGTCAAGCCACACACCCGAACCCCCTACATGACTCCACTTTGGCTCCAGAGGAGTAAACCGTATTCAATTCAAGGGGAACTACGCATTCATTCCCTTCACACTGACTCTCCAATGCCATCTCCCGACAGAAATGACAGCAGAGCCTTCGGCGGAACTGGCTCGGGCATGAAGTTCTTCCTGCCCGGAGGGCGTCAAGATGTTTGAAGTTATGGAGAAGGCTTTGGGCCTACCTCTGCGGATAAAGCTCTAAATGTACGGAATACGCCGGCCTGCTCTACTGAGCAAGTCTTGCAAAACCACTTTGAAGTTTTGCAGCTCAAGGGACACAGGGTCTCGGACTAAAATGAAGGAGTTGTTTGCAAGATTAGTCCCTCGAAATTAGCTCAGCATACCTCTGAATGCCCTGCAGGACAAGGCCCCCAACGAAGTTTGCAAAAAAAAGTCTCAAGACACGGATTACACCTTACAGCTCCTTCATATCTGTACTTCCGAACCCTATGTATCTGGTCTCAACCGCTCACGTCGTACCCCCGCAGACCTCAGGGAAAGCTTTTTTGGCTTCAGAGACTAGAAAAAACCTTTGAAATTCAAAGTGTTGGACTTCTGCATTTCAGGAATCGGGATTTAGGGATTTTGGGGTGTCACGCTTTAGGGGTTTAGACTTTGGGGCTTGCCACCCCTGAAAATCCCTGTGCCATTTGACCAAGGGTCCGCTCCACAAACTTCTGGCGGCCACGGACAGGCCCTCCCTCCTCAGAGCACATATTATATATAGGGATGATGGAAAAATGGAAGCTACTGCTACTATAGGGTCATGTAAGGGGTTACAAAGACATTATGTAGGGATAATGGAAAAGAAAATGGAAGCTACTAAGTATAGGATTATATAAGGGGTTACGTAGGGGTTATGTAGGGATAGTGGGCAAGAAACTGGAAGCTACTATAATAGGGTATATACGCGTGAAAAAAACTTTCAGGCTCGTTGACCGGTATGGATAGACAGCCGCTTCGATTCTGAATCTTGGGTTTGGGGCTGACGCTCTGGAGCATGAAAGCCTAAACAACTAGGGCTAGCTATGAATCTAGGTACCATACACAACAAGTGCTCAAGGGAGTTTGAAAAATGAAGTGGAACAACATCTCAACATTCCAACTTCCACGCAACTTGAAGGTGGAAAGATACCCGACCGTATTGACCATAAAGGGAAATTGTAGCTCAGAGCTCCGAACTTAGAGGGGGCTATGGCAAAGATCCTTCGGTCCTCGTAAACTCCAGTCAACCCCACGCTGGACATCTACACTCTCCCCCTTTGAGCACTTCAGGAGCTTAGCGCCTAAACCGTGAATTCCTAATCCCACCTAGCCAAACCTCCATGAACCCTCCAGGATCCCAAGCCCTGGCCTTTACTCCTCAAACCCTTTCCCAACGCAGCCTGAACCGGCAGGTCCAAGCAGGACAGATCCACGTTCAGCTCCTTGAAGCTTTCCTTCTTGGGCTTGACCTGCAGGACAGTCACGGCTGAGGGTCCCCTGCATGCAGCAGGGAAGTCTGAGAGTTAATGTCATGCAGCAATTAATGGGGAAAACAGTTGTGACTAAGTTTTGGGGCTGTAGCAATATGAAGAAAAATCATTCTTCTATTTCCTGCTTGCTCAGGAAATGATCTACACCTCGTGCCACGGAGCTTTTCATCAAGGGATTGAAGGGCTCAATCTCGTTTAAAGGAGAGCCTCGCCATTACCTGAACATTACAGCAACTCAAGTTACGCTAAAAAACGGTAGATGCATACACGAATACCGGCCGTAAACCTCAGCCCAAAATCCCGCACTTCCGACTTGCCTCACCTGACTCCAACCCTTTAACCCCTTGTTCTTGCACTTCTGAAGTTTCGGAAAGCGCCTGAGGATTCTGGGGTCCAAGCTACTACACGGCTATCCAGAAAACTTCGCAGAATCAAGGATCCTCAAGTCCCAGAGCATTGCAATTCCTGCAGTTAGCAGGCTAAGTTCGCATTGGGCCTGTCAAGAAGTATACTAAGTATTCACATGCGTCAGCTCCTGACCAAAAAAAGCTTGCAGGCATGTGTTTAAACTGCACAGCTTACCTAACTAAAGAGAATGCTGATGACAACGAAACTATGTAAAGTGAATCTTCTAAGAATCCCAAGCTTGCACTACTCAAGCTAATAACGAATCTCAAAGACATCCTCCACTCCCACTCTCCCACTTCTAGGCTGTTTGCTTTTCCTGTACCTTCAATGCTCAACAAAAAATCATTCCCGTGCATTCCACGACCATAGG